AAACCTGACCTCAAACCTGGCCTCAAACCTGACCTCAAACCTGACCTCAAACCTGACGTCAAACCTGACCTCAAACCTGACGTCAAACCTGACGTCAAACCTGACCTTAAACCTGACGTCAAACCTGACGTCAAATCTGACGTCAAACCTGACCTCAAACCTGACGTCAAACCTGACGTCAAACCTGGCGTCAAACCTGACGTCAAACCTGACCTCAAACATGACCTCAAACCTGACGTCAAACCTGACCTCTAACCTGACGTCTAACCTGACGTCAATCCTGACCTCAAACCTGACCTCAAACCTGACGTCAAACCTGACCTCAAACCTGACCTCAAACCTGACCTCAAACCTGACCTCAAACCTGACGTCAAACCTGACCTCGAACCTGACGTCAAACCTGACCTCAAACCTGACGTCAAATCCGACCTCAAACCTGACCTCAAACCTGACCTCAAACCTGACCTCAAACCTGACCTCAAACCTGACCTCAAACTTGACGTCAAACCTGACCTCAAACCTGACCTCAAACCTGACCTCAAACCTGACCTCAAACCTGACCTCAAACTTGACGTCAAACCTGACCTCAAACCTGACCTCAAACCTGACGTCAAACCTGACCTCAAACCTGACCTCAAACCTGGCCTCAAACCTGACCTCAAACCTGACCTCAAACCTGACGTCAAACCTGACGTCAAACCTGACGTCAAACCTGACCTCAAACCTGACGTCAAACCTGACCTCAAACCTGGCCTCAAACCTGACCTCAAACCTGACCTCAAACCTGACCTCAAACCTGACCTCAAACCTGACGTCAAACCTGACCTCGAACCTGACGTCAAACCTGACCTCAAACCTGACGTCAAATCTGACGTCAAACCTGACCTCAAACCTGACGTCAAACCTGACCTCAAACCTGACCTCAAACCTGACCTCAAACCTGACCTCAAACCTGACGTCAAACCTGACCTCGAACCTGACGTCAAACCTGACCTCAAACCTGACGTCAAATCTGACGTCAAACCTGACCTCGAACCTGACGTCAAACCTGACCTCAAACCTGACCTCAAACCTGGCCTCAAACCTGACCTCAAACCTGACCTCAAACCTGATGTCAAACCTGACGTCAAACCTGACGTCAAACCTGACCTCAAACCTGACGTCAAACCTGACCTCAAACCTGGCCTCAAACCTGACCTCAAACCTGACCTCAAACCTGACCTCAAACCTGACCTCAAACCTGACGTCAAACCTGACCTCAAACCTGACGTCAAACCTGACCTCAAACCTGACGTCAAATCTGACGTCAAACCTGACCTCAAACCTGACGTCAAACCTGACCTCAAACCTGACCTCAAACCTGACGTCAAACCTGACCTCAAACCTGACGTCAAACCTGACGTCAAACCTGACCTCAAACCTGACCTCAAACCTGACGTCAAATCTGACGTCAAACCTGACCTCAAGCCTGACGTCAAACCTGACGTCAAACCTCACGTCAAACCTGACCTCAAACCTGACCTCAAACCTGACGTCAAACCTGACCTCAAACCTGACCTCAAACCTGACGTCAAACCTGACGTCAAACCTGACCTCAAACCTGATCTCAAACCTGACCTCAAACCTAACCTTAATCCTGACGTCAATCCTGACCTCAAACCTGACCTCAAACCTGACGTCAAACCTGACCTCAAACCTGACGTCAAACCTGACCTCAAACCTGACCTCAAACCTGACCTCAAACCTGACGTCAAACCTGACCTCAAATCTGCCCTCAAACCTGACGTCAAACCTGACCTCGAACCTGACGTCAAACCTGACCTCAAACCTGACGTCAAATCTGACCTCAAACCTGACCTCAAACCTGACCTCAAACCTGACCTCAAACCTGACCTCAAACCTGACCTCAAACCTGACCTCAAACCTGACGTCAAATCTGACGTCAAACCTGACCTCAAACCTGATGTCAAACCTGATGTCAAACCTGACGTCAAACCTGACCTCAAACTGACGTCAAACCTGACCTCAAACCTGACGTCAAACCTGACGTCAAACCTGACCTCAAACCTGGCCTCAAACCTGACCTCAAACCTGACCTCAAACCTGACGTCAAACCTGACCTCAAACCTGACGTCAAACCTGACGTCAAACCTGACCTTAAACCTGACCTCAAACCTGACGTCAAATCTGACGTCAAACCTGACCTCAAACCTGACGTCAAACCTGACGTCAAACCTGACCTCAAACCTGACCTCAAACATGACGTCAAACTAGACATGGGCAAAGAGTCGAGTTTCCAAGCTCGACTCGATCGGGGGACTCGTTACTGGTCGAGTGTCGAGTGCAAGGACCCGTTGAAAAAACTCGACCGGACCGAGTCGAGTTTTACCCGCCGAGTTTTTAAAAAACTCGGTCCAAGCTCGGGCCCCATGATGAGTTTTTTCCAGACTCGTCGAGTTTTCTGGACTCGGCGAGTTTACGAAAAACTCGTCGCGACATTGGGGTGGGGTGGGCATACAAAATTCGAAAGTTGAAGTTTTGCGGGTCCATTTTCAGATCTCGATTTCAGTCAGTCACCTTCCTCAACATGTCGTCCGTAGTTTCCAGAGCCAAACCAGTCAAACGCCCGGCTGTTTTTTCTTCTTAAACTTAAGATCGGTTCAGGGGCAACGTAGATCTAGGTTTACGCTTAGTTAGGGTCGCGGTTTTATTGGATGGTTGGTTTCGATTAGGGTTTGAGGATGAGGAAACGCTACTATTTAATAATGTAACGGTCGATCTACTGAAGGGTATACAACAAAAAACCATGCACGAAAATAAGCCTCAGGTCTCACTTTTCTTTTCTATGGTGTGTCCCCCCCCCCCTCCCCCCCGCCGAGCCGAGTTTAACTAGGACTCGACCGAGCGTATGAATAGCGCCGGTCGAGTTTTAAAAAACTCGCCCTTATACAGTCAAGTCTCGAGTCCTGAACCTTGGCAAAAAAACTCCACCGGGTTTCACCCGACTCGAGCTCGAACTCGGTCGAGTTTTGGCCCAGACCGAGTCGAGTTTTACTCGACTCGGTCGGTTGCCCATGTCTACGTCAAACCTGACCTCAAACCTGACCTCAAACCTGACGTCAAACCTGACCTCAAACCTGACCTCAAACCTGACGTCAAACCTGACCTCAAACCTGGCCTCAAACCTGACCTCAAACCTGACCTTAAACCTGACGTCAAACCTGACCTCAAACCTGACGTCAAATCTGACGTCAAACCTGACGTCAAACCTGACGTCAAACCTGACCTCAAACCTGACCTCAAACCTGACGTCAAACCTGACCTCAAACCTGACCTCAAACCTGACCTCAAACCTGACATCAAACCTCACGTCAAACCTGACGTCAAACCTGACCTCAAACCTGATGTCAAACCTGACCTCAAACCTGACCTCAAACCTGCCCTCAAACCTGACGTCAAACCTGACCTCAAACCTGACCTCAAACCTGACGTCAAACCTCACGTCAAACCTGACGTCAAACCTGGCCTCAAACCTGACCACAAACCTGACCTAAAACCTGACCTCAAACCTGACCTCAAACCTGACGTCAAACCTGACCTCAAACCTGATGTCAAACCTGACCTAAAACCTGACCTCAAACCTGCCCTCAAACCTGACCTCAAACCTGACCTCAAACCTGACGTCAAACCTGACCTCAAACCTGACCTCAAACCTGACGTCAAACCTGACCTCAAACCTGGCCTCAAACCTGACCTCAAACCTGACCTTAAACCTGACGTCAAACCTGACCTCAAACCTGACGTCAAATCTGACGTCAAACCTGACGTCAAACCTGACGTCAAACCTGACGTCAAACCTGACCTCAAACCTGACCTCAAACCTGACCTCAAACCTGACCTCAAACCTGACCTCAAACCTGACCTCAAACCTGACGTCAAACCTGACCTCAAACCTGACCTCAAACCTGACCTCAAACCTGACGTCAAACCTGACCTCAAACCTGACCTCAAACCTGACGTCAAACCTGACGTCAAACCTGACCTCAAACCTGACCTCAAACCTGACCTCAAACCTCACGTCAAACCTGACGTCAAACCTGACCTCAAACCTGATGTCAAACCTGACCTCAAACCTGACCTCAAACCTGCCCTCAAACCTGACGTCAAACCTGACCTCAAACCTGACCTCAAACCTGATGTCAAACCTCACGTCAAACCTGACGTCAAACCTGGCCTCAAACCTGACCACAAACCTGACCTAAAACCTGACCTCAAACCTGACGTCAAACCTGACCTCAAACCTGATGTCAAACCTGACCTAAAACCTGACCTCAAACCTGCCCTCAAACCTGCCCTCAAACCTCACGTCAAACCTGACCTCAAACCTGACCTCAAACCTGACGTCAAACCTCACCTCAAACCTGACCTCAAACCTGACCTCAAACCTGACCTCAAACCTGACCCCAAACCTGACGTCAAACCTGACCTCAAACCTGATGTCAAACCTGACCTCAAACCTGACCTCAAACCTGACCTCAAACCTGACCTGAAACCTGACATCAAACCTGACGTCGAACCTGACCTCAAACTCAAACCTGACCTCAAACCTGACCTCAAACTTGACGTCCCCTCCTCCCCTCCTCCCCCCTCCGCCCGTCCTCCCCCCTCCCCTTCCCCCCCTTCCCCGTCCGCCCCCCTCGCTCATGAGGTCACTACCCAACAGCATAGGCAGGACCACGCGACTCATCCTTGTTCTCACGCTCACCCCATTCACCTCCCTCCCTTATGCCAACAGCACAGGCAACACCACACTGCTCTCACCTGTTTAGTGCAACTCCCTTCTTCTCCTCGACTGCCATTTTCTCCTCCATCCTCCCCCTCTTGACCCTTCTCCCGGCCATGCAGTCGTCGGCCCAATACGGCATAGGCAAGACGACGCTGCTGAAGCTTCAAGCCCCCCCACCCCATCGTACCCCTCCCTCCCACCCCCCTCCATGCAGTCGTGGGCCCCAACGGCATAGGCAAGACCACGCTGCTGAAGCTCATCTCAGGCGAGCTCAAGCCCACCTCAGGCACTGCCTTCCGCTCCCCCAAGGTATGGCTTCTTGCTCACCCCCTACGTGTTCCTCCCAAGGGTTCATCCTCGTATATGTGCATCTGGTGCCGTGCATTACATGGCATGGCATGTATGTATGATCCCTCCTTCTCACCATGCATCGGGTGCGCATGGCAGTGTTCTCCCAGCACCATGTGGACGGCCTGGACCTCCCTTCCATGCATGCATGCATGCAAGCTGCATGACATGTGTAACGTCCATGCGACCCCTACCATCCATCCATGCAACACCCTCTCTCTCACCCTCTTCCCCGAGCACCAGGTGCCGATGGCAGTGATCGCCCTGCAACATGTGGGCGGCCTAGAGCTTTCCTGCTTGTAAACCATGTCACATGGCCTGTATTTGTTTCCAACCGCCAAACCACCCCCTGCCCCTCAATGCGCTCCCCTTGCACATCAGGTGCGCATGGCAGTGTTCGCCCGGCACCACGTGGGCGGGCTGGAGGTCTCTCTCATGCACAGATATAACCCACCACCCCTCCTGCACCTCTCTCCCCATGCAACCCCCTCCCCATGCACCCCCATCCATCCATGCACCACCCATCAGGTGCGCATGGCAGTGTTCGCGCAGCACCACGTGGACGGGCTGGAACTTTCCAAGTCGCCTCTGCTCTACATGGCGCACTCCTTCCCGGTACGTCCATTTCCCCCACTCCTTCCTAGTACCTTACTTTTGCCCATTCCCTCTCGGTACTTTCCTTTTAACCTCTAAATCTGGGTGCCTTCCTTTCACCCACTCCTTCCCAGCTCTCCACTTCACTTCAGCCCTCTTTGTCCCAGCACTTTCCGTCAGCCCGATTCTTTGCCAGAGGCCAGACACATTCTTGCATCGGTGCAGACCCGCAACACAATGACCCTCCCATTCACGCATCTGTATACATGGCCCTCTGACCCTATTTCCTCTCCTCCCACCGTGCATCCACAAATCTGGCTCAGGGAGTACCGGAGCAGAAGCTGAGGGCGCATCTGGGCTCCTTTGGCCTGGGAGGCAACCTGGCGCTGCAGCCCATGTACACACTCTCAGGTGCGCTATGCTCATGCTCCCTCCTTCCTTGATTCCCAAGGCGTGTCAACATTCGCATCTGGGCTCCTTTGGCCTGGGAGGCAATCTGGCGCTGCAGCCCATGTACACGCTCTCAGGTCTGCGCTCCTCCCACCTTCCCTGTTGCTGTGCTTGTATCTCTAAGTATTTGGCGACTTTTGAGTCAGTTCAAAAGTGAATTTTTTATCAGCACCAAAGGTAAGTAGCAACCATAGTCTGTTTAGATCATCGCTATTGTTGTTTGCGTGTCTTCCTGCTGCCTACCCTCGCTGTCCGTGCACATATCAGGAGGGCAGAAGAGCAGAGTGTCATTCGCTAAGATCACGTTCCACAAGCCACACATTCTGCTGCTCGACGAGCCCTCCAACCATCTGGTACGCCCTCCAACCATCTGGCACCAGTCTCACCGCAGTAACCTCACCTTACCCTCACACGCACCTCGTCCAGCATGCCTTCCTGCATGTTTTCTGACAGCCCTTTGTGCCCTCCTTGTTTGTTGACTCTCCTGCGCTTTGCTTTCCGGTTGCCCGATGCTCTGGAGGCGTTGATTCAGGGCCTCCAACTCTGTTGCCATCAGCGCACTCATTTCCTCATTTTCTTTTCTCATCTTGTTCGTTTCTCCTCCTGCACTCTTCTCCCTTTGCCCTCTTGCTTTTTTTACTTTTCCCGTATTTCGCTCCTCTCGTCCTTCTACCTTCCTCCCTCCTCTCCTCCCCATCAGGACATTGATGCAGTGGAGGAATTGATTCAGGGCCTTGCTCTCTGCTCTGCTTCCGTAACTGTACTCATCCCCTTTCTTCCCTCTCTACCTCTCGACTCATTCCCCCCCTTCCTGTCCCCACCATCAGGACATCGATGCAGTGGAGGCGTTGATTCAGGGCCTTGCTCTCTTCCAAGGCGGTGTTCTCATGGTGAGCCTTGTCGGGCATGGGTGCGTGCAAGGCGTATCTGGCATGGGTGGGCGCGGGGCCTGTTGGGCATGGGTGGCTTTGTTGGGCACGTATGGGTGTGAGGTAGTTGGGAGATGAGCATGCAATGGTGGTGAAGCAGGACGTGGTGCAGGGTGGCCTGGCACACGCATGTCATGTCATGGCATGCGTCCGGTGGCTGCCGCGCTGTCACAACATGTGGCTGGCTGGGACCTCTCACATGAGTCCGCTCGCATGCTTCCGGTGGCTGGCTGTTGTGCCTGCTTCTTACCGCCCCCAGGTTCACTGTCTGATCGTTTTACTGTCCTGCAGCCCTGCCTGATCTCTCATCCCCTCACCCATTAATCTCTTTCCCCCATCTGCTTCTTAACACTCCTCCCGCCGCTCCCCCCAGCACCCCCTTTGTTTGCGTGCGAGACATGAGGAGCATCGAGCATCTGATTGGTGACAGTGTGGGGCAGCAGAGCTCGTCTGAATGCAGCACTCCCTTCCCCCCCACACCCCCCCTTCATCCCCAATCCTTCTCCCTTTTCTCCCGCAGGTGAGTCACGATGAGCATCTGATCAGTGGCGGTGTGGACCAGCTGTGGGCGGTGGACAAGGGAGTGGCCAAGCCCTTCTCCGGCACCTTCAAGGAGTACAAGCGCTCCATCAAACACTGAAGCATTTCAGGCACCCTCAAGGAGTCCCAGCGTTCCATTTAGTTAGCACTGAGATTGCCCACACTGCCAGCCTGAATGTGTGTACTGTATTTGAATTTGCATTAATTTCGTGGTCCACAAAAGCTGAACAAAATTGGTCACAAACGCTGAAGACGTTTGCAAGCTGAATGTTTGCTCAACTGTTCTGGAATGGAAAAATATAAAACTATATCAGAAGCACCAAGCCGGAAACACTAAAACGAACGGCACATCCCACCCTAATAATTCCTCAGCTCTGTTCTGCTTGTGTTTACCGTGGTTCAGTAGGTCACCTTCGCGGTCGAAAACGGTTTCGGAGCTTGACCGCTTTCCACCGGAATGTGAAGCATTTGTCCTCCACTTCTACATCGCTGACTACATTCTCACGCACTTCGCAGATCGCATCACCGCCACAATAGCTGGTTCCTAATCGCTCCCTCGTTGCTCGTTACCGCGATTCGAGCTACGCACAGTAGTTCCAGACGGTAGACTTAGTTGTCTCTGTTCTGCTCGATTCGATCCAGGTTGGTCGACGAAGTGTCACGGCGTCATGGAGGTGGATTGCGCGAGCTCGTATGGAGCCGTATCAACCGGGGTGGGTGTTCCGGGACAGATTATCTGTGACTTACGTTAACAATAGATCCTGATTCAGATCCCATCAGCAGCTAGCGTACGTGTGAGGCGCTTCGGATATGGTTTCAGTTGCTCAGCGTCTCCTCTGTGCGGCGCCGTCTGCGCTTGGCTTTTCCGGAAAGCAATTGAACGCGGACATTACGCTTACAATATTCGACTCAAAAGTCACTTCGTGTCAGCAGACGATACCAGCTTTGGAACTGTTGCTAGTTTTTCTGGATTCACAGGCATCATGCGCGTAATTTCTCTACGCTACATGTGCCAGGATGAACGGATTTGTTCTCCCAAACGCCTCAGCAAGATTCTCTTCGTGGATTCAAGAGAATCATATCATCCTTGTGGTTATTACATGCTAAATGACTCAAGAGTAGCCAGATTCATGACTTTCCGTAAAGATTCCAAAAACCTCTTATGGTTTCAGGTCTCCCTCTAGGCCTTGCTTTCACCATTTGGGATTGTCGCAACTGCGCTTTCCTTGGGATTATCGCAGTCTCATTTTCTTGCTTTCACCTTCGCCTGGTTCAATTGTCTAGACGCAACAATTGTTTGGCTCAAATCTAGCAGCGTCGCATCATCTGTTGTGCTTGAATCGCGTGCTTCCCCTGCTTCTCCTGCAGACGACCATCATGGCAGTGGCGTACGATGGGGGGGTCGTGCTTGGAGCTGATACTCGGGTTACCACAGGTAATATTGAATCATTTCAGAAAACAACGTCAATTCTCGATTCAAGTTGAGACGGTTCCGTCGCTCGTCGATCGTTCCTTAGTTGGTTTGTCCGTCGTCCGTTCCTTCGTTTCGTTCTTTCGTTCTCTCCTCGTGTCACGTTTCCTTCCATCTGTCCCTCTCTGGCCTTCTCATTTTCTGCTCTCCTGCGATTTCCTTCCCTTCTCCTGTGCCTTCACACGTGGCGTCGCCTGCTGCGTCGCCAGGAACGTACATCAGCAACAGAGCGTGTGAGAAGATCACTGCTGTCCGTGCTTTCTGATGGCCCTCTCACTCCCTCCTCTTCCATGATCTCCCGTGTCTTTCTCCTGCGCCATCGCCAGGAACGTACATCAGCAACAGAGCGTCTGAGAAGATCACTGCTCTCACAGACTTCGCCTACCTCTGCCGATCAGGATCTGTGAGTGATTGGATTGCTGCTGTTAAAGGGATTTTTGCTTTTTTACAATGAAAGGTAATGTGATTAGAGATGTCCGCCTAATTGTCAACCTGGATGTTTGCCTGATTTTCAACCTAGATGTTTGCCTGATTTTACTAGATGTTTGCCTGATTTTCAACCTAGATGTTTGCCTGATTCTCAACCTGGATGTTTGCCTGATTTTCAACCTAGATGTTTGCCTGATTCTCAACCTGGATGTTTGCTTGATTGTCAACCTGGATGTTTGTTTGATTGTCAACCTAGATGTTTGCTGCCTGAATGTCAGCCTGTTTGCCTGAACGCCAGCCTGATTGCCTGAATGTCAGCCTGATTGCCTGAATGCCAGCCTGTTTGCCTGAATGTCAGCCTGTTTGCCTGAATGTCAGCCTGTTTGCCTGAATGTCAACCGGTTTGCCTGAAGGTCAGTTGCTGGAATGTCAGCCTGTTTGCCTGAATGTCAGCCTGCTTGCCTGAATGTCAGCCTGCTTGCCTGAATGTCAGCCTGTTTGCCTGAATGTCAACTTGTTTGCTTGAATGTCAGCCTGTTTGCCTGAATGTCAGCTTGTTTGCATGAATGTCAACCTGTATGCCTGAATGTTAACCTGTTTGCCTGAATGTCAACCTGTTTGCCTGAACGTCAGCCTGTTTGCCTGAACGTCCGCCTGTCTGCCTGAATGTCGCCCCTTTGCCTAAGTGCCAGCCTGTTTGCCTGAATGCCAGCCTCTTTGCCTGAACGTCAGCCTGTTTGCCTGAATGTCTGCCTGATTGCCTGAATGTCAACCTCTTTGCCTGAATGTCAGCCTGTTTGCCTGAATGTCAGCCTGTTTGCCTGAATGTCAACCGGTTTGCCTGAATGTCAGCCTGTTTGCCTGAATGTCAGCCTGTTTGCCTGAATGTCAACCTGTTTGCCTGAATGTCAGCCTGTTTGCCTGAATGTCAGTTTGTTTGCCTGGATGTCAGCCTGTTTGCCTGAATGTTGGCCTTTTTGCCTATATCTCAGACTGTTTGCCTGAATGTCAACCTGTTTACCTGAATGTCAACTTGTTTGCCTGAATGTCAGCCTGTTCGCCTGAATGTCAACCTGTTTGCCTGAATGTCAACCCGTTTGCCTGAATGTCAGCCTATTTGCCTGATTATCAACTTAATAATATCTGCTCTGGCTGTCAACCTTGTTAGCAATACTCACTTTCCTAACATCTGGCTGCAACCATCTTTTTCTCTGCAGGCTGCGGACACCCAGACAGTGTCCACGTATGCACAGTACTACCTCTCACAACACCAGTGAGTGCAGAGCTTACTCATGTGAGTGCTGAGAGCAGCACGGAGAGGGATAGCAACAAAGACACCCAGACAGTGTCCACGTATGCACAACACTACCTCTCGCAGCAGCAGTGAATGCAGCAAGGAGTGCAGGTAGCGGTGTCCACCTTTGCACGCAACTACCTTGCCAGTCAGCATAGTGAGTGATCTCGGACTGAAACTTTTTTTTTCAGGATTTGGGTAGCAGCAATGAGTTCACATTCAATCAAAAGGTTGCAGGACGTTGCTCTCCGGTTCTATCTAGTCTATGCATGCTATCAGCGACTCTTCGATATCTTTATGCACATGTTGTGAATCGGCTGCTTGTGCATGTCTTATGGTTGAATATGCACACATCGTGTCACATCACATCACATCACATCACATCCCATTACAACATCGCATAGTATCACACCATCTCACATCAAGCCTTCTGTCTCCAATCCCGTGGTGTGGCGTGGCATGCCATGGCATGGCATGGCATCAGGATGGAGCTGGGCAAGCCTACAGATGTGAAGACGGTGGCTAATGTGGTCAAGCAAATCAGCTACCACAACAAAGTGACTCCATTCTTGTCCACAACCTATTAGCCACCATGTGTTATTTCGAACACTATTTTCCTGGACATCCCACCGCCACCCCCCCCCCCCCCCTCCCTCTTCCATCCCACGTTTCCTCTTCCCTTTTAAAGCATATCCCACGTTTCCCACGTTTTTTCGACTGGCTCGCAATTCCATTTCCGCGTTGTGCAACATAACATGTTGACAGCAGGCGTGATCCTGACATGTTGACAGCAGGCATGATCCTGACATGTTGACAGCAGGCATGATCCTGACATGTTGACAGCAGGCATGATCCTGACATGTTGACAGCAGGCATGATCCTGACATGTTGACAGCAGGCATGATCCTGACATGTTGACAGCAGGCGTGATCCTGACATGTTGACAGCAGGCATGATCCTGACGTGTTGACAGCAGGCGTGATCCTGACATGTTGGCAGCAGGCGTGATCCTGACATGTTGGCAGCAGGCGTGATCCTGACATGTTGACAGCAGGCATGATCCTGACGTGTTGACAGCAGGCGTGATCCTGACATGTTGACAGCAGGCATGATCCTGACGTGTTGACAGCAGGCGTGATCCTGACATGGCATGGTCGTTTCCATGTCTTACTGTGTGTGTCTTGGTGGCTCATCTTCCCTGCTGCCCGCGTCCTCATCCCTTGTTGTGTGCGCCTTGCAATGCCCATGTTTTGTCCTCCCTGATCCTTGGTTTTGTGTCGGAACAGAACATGCTATCCTCATCCGTCCCTCATCCTCCCTTGTTCTTGCTGTATCTCCTTGCGTGTTCTTGCTGTATCTCCTTGCGTGTTTCGCAGAACATGCTATCAGCGGCCATGATAGTGGGCGGGTGGGACCAGTACGACGGGGCGTCACTGTACGCACTGCTTCGTCCTCTTCCCCCCTCATCACTCCTGCTCCCTGATTCCCCTTCACCCTCGTCCCCCCTGCACCCTCATCCCTACCCACCAGAACATGCTATCAGCAGGCATGATAGTGGGCGGGTGGGACCAGTACGACGGTGCATCGGTGTACGCGCTGCCGCAGGGAGGCACGCTGCTCAAGGCGCCCTTCGCCATCGGGGGTTCTGGCTCGTCTTACCTCTTCGCCTTCTGCGACGCGACCTTCAAGGAGGGCATGAGCAAGGAGGAAGCCGAGGTGAAGTTTCGTTTTGGTGTGCCAAGAACAGATATGTATATGGCAACGGTAGCCCAACCATGCACCTCTTTGCCTTCTGTGATCGACCTTCAAGGATGGCATGAGCAAGGAGGAAGCTGAGGTGAGATGTTGTTTTGGTGAAGGGAGAATGGACGGTCAGTACACCTGTCGCTGTCGTCCATTTACACCT